ATCATTTTATTCATTTGATCAAATGACCTATGGGTTAGATATTTTCCAAACGTATATATACTTGTATGTATTTCAAAGACTTGGGGAACATTATAAACATATGTATCACCCTATGTTTGAGTCTTATACTTCAAACGTTAGTTATTCTACATTTAGCCTGCTACTCGCTCGCTATTATATTCACGTACTGACCCCTTCAGGGGGCACTATTTCAAGTGGAAGCTAAAGCTTGCTATCCGCACCTTGCTCGGTGAAGCGATTCCAAGGAAGACGTGATTCGTGTTTCCTTTACTGTTTAAACTACAAACTATGCTCATGGATATTATGTAATGGTTACATTTGTTTTGGTGGCGAGGAAGTCCATGGTGATGGCAGCACTGCGACAGAGGTCGGCGGCGAATTCCGGCGGCGGCAACGAACTCTAGCGGCGGCAGATGACGGCAAAATGTTGGCAGGCCACCAGAAAAAAATCTGGAAGTTTTCAGGTGACGGCAGCCGGAGCTCTCGAGGCGGTGGTGGCCGGAGCTTTGGCGGTGGCCGGCCGCGGTCCAGCAACGGCAGCAGTCCAGGGGCAGCAGTGGGGGTATTTTGGTCCAATCACAAAAAAAAATCTTATTCATGAATGTTTAAACTAATTGATCCTATTTTGAGAAAAAAGTCATGTTTTGCTACTATTAAGGTAAATTTCTCTTTCATTTTTACCCTAATTGAATTAATTAAGTAACCCAATAAATTGCTTCATATTTCTCTAGCATAATCAACGTAGTCTGTTGGTAGCGGGGTAATCCGGTTGCGGCGGCAGCGGCGGTGGAATCCGACGGCGGCGGTCGTTGGCTTTGGCGGCAGAGAATCTGGCAGACTGCTATGAAAAAAATCTGGAGATTTCTGGTGGTTCTATTTCGGAAAAATTATATTTTGATCTTAAGGTAAATCTCTCATATTGTAAGGAGCTTTTTAGTTATTTCATTTGCTTTTAATCACATATTTGTCCTAAATAAAAACAGCTCCTATTTTTGTCCAACTAGAAGTTGGGAGTTCTATTTCGGTCACATCTTTCACTTTTAGAATGTCTTCGGGCAACATTTTACAAAAGTTGCAATTATTGTAAGTTTCAATTTCTGCAGGATGTAGCTTGTTTCATACTACGTACATGAGTGGAAAGAAAATTCCACTCAAAAATAAAAGACTACCATTTTTCTTTCTGATTCATTAACTCTTGATTGATAAAGTTTAAAGCAGGTCTTATTTTAGAATTAAAACACAACTCCTATATTTATTCACATTGTCTACATATTTTCGGTGGATAATATCACTCATTCACTTGATTAAAGCCTTATAGGTGACATATAGTGCTAGAGGAAGCAGTGCAGTGGCAATACCAACATGGGTTTTATATCAGTGGAGGACTTAGGGGGGCCTAGGGGCACCAGTGCCCGCTCCCGGCCAAGAATTTTACTATTAGCGTGTCCTTGCTCTCACAAATCTTTGGGTCTGCCACTGTTTTATACGTAAGTACATACATGAGGGAATGAACTAATGAAGGTACCAATATTTTGAAACGGCACATACTAGTTTGATAGTTTATACATTCAAAGTTTAGGAAAACAACCACTTTACCTATAAAACATATTACATTGTGTGGCTATATGAATAATTTATTTTTAAGTTGCAAGTAAAGTTATTGAAATGCTTTAGAAAAAGCATTCAAAGTATTTTACTACCCTCTCCTCCCCTAATGTAAAATATTTTACATGATACAATGCAAAATGTGTTTAAAAAGTGTCATACACTTTACATTAATCAAGTCAAATAGTATAAACTGGCAAATTATACCGTGGGATCGGTACACCTTGAACATGGTGTGCCGATCCCAAAACTACATCGTTTTTGTTAAAAAAATTACAGAAATCCTCTCTGCTCCTTATCTGCTTCGTCGTTTTATTTTTCTCCATCACTGTTTATATTCTCTTACTCTGTACAACGCACACAATGCTCCTCCCCAATTGTCGTGTAGTGCCTATGGGTCTGCCACAACATAATGAATTTATTTTATGTTTCGACCATTCAGATTTTTCTTTTTGAATGGACATTCGATTTTTCAATGCACTTAGAACAAAATTTATCCATAACAAATAACACAAATTCATTTATTGGTCAAATAAACACATGCATATAGAAAAATGATTTTACTTAAAAACATTTTTATGGTCTTAATATTAAAAACAAAACTTATTACTAGTATATATTTTGAACAATTAAATTTCTTGTTTTCATTGTTTACATTTAATATCATATGAAGTTACATCTTCTTATTCGTGGGTTACATCTATTTATGCATGAGTTACATCTCAATGTATGTGAGTTACACCACGAAATAAACCTCTGTTAATGATCAAACAATGATTTTTTAGTTATATCATTTTTATAGCCCTAATATTAAAAATAAAACATATTCACTACTTACAAAAAGTATTTGGGCAATTAGGATCGATTTTTCATTGTTCACATTGAAATCAACAAGTTAGATAACTTTCATTTCAACTTGACTCAAGTTACATTTCCGATCAACATGAGTTATATCTATTTAAACGAGAGTTACATCACCCTACTACTGAAACACAAAAAAAATCATTGTTCACCCGTGTCTGCTGCTCATGCGTATTTTACCCTTGGGAGCATGGTGCTCATAGTGAGCCGATACCACGGTATAAGAACTCGTATAAACTCCTTACGTCTCTACATTTCAAATGTAAAGTAATTATATTACATTCTATCAAACACAGTTTACTTCAGTGGCAGACGTATGCTAAATCAAAAGTGTTCATGTATGTGAACACAAAAAATTGACTTTTATTGTAAAAATACGTGCATATGGGTGCTAGCCCAAAAAAAATTATAAAATATATTTAAACCTTCGTAATTAATGTCCAAGATCCGCCACCTATTTATTTGTTTATGTGGACTACATAAGTCATTTTTAGAATAGAATATGTTCTCAATTCACATAACCTTTATTGATTATTGACGAAGAATTTTCCCGGGAAAACATATTGCATGTAGTGATAATTTACTGAAAGGGACATTTACATATATATGTAGAAGAAAATGATTTTACTATCTTTTTATTATTACCAAGGTGATTTCCTCAATGTACTGTAGTTCATTTTTTTTTAAAATAACACCTTTTTGGGTGGTGGGAAAACATGAAGTTCTTTTTTGAACAAAAATATGTTAGTCACTCTATGCGAGTGTCAATATAGTGTGACAAACCACCGATAAATGATGAGTCATTGAATATGTCATTTTTGAAAAAGTTTAAAATAAGTCATATTTTTGTCTTTTAAATTTAATTTACTAGTACTAATGAAAAAATGCCTTCTTTCATTTTCTTCTGAAAAGTCTATTTCATTAAAATGCAACTCCGTATTCAAGACTAATATTCCATCAGAGGCGGCTTGAGCATTTTGGAGGCCCCAGACGAAAAATATTTACTATGTACAAATCACTTTTAAAATCAGATAAATTGAATAAAAATCGCCTTATGAAAAAAAGCATATTCAAAGTCCACGATATAATGTTTGTAATATTCAGAAGGATAAATTTTAAAATGCAAACTTATTCAAAACACAAGGCAAACTTGTACTTGTAAAAGTATTAAGAGACTTCAGAGAGAAGAGCTGAAGAGTCTTAGTTGATTCACTAACCAAGGACCCATGTCGACGGCGAGCAGTGAGGCATATATACAGTAGCCGATTAGCGGTTTGTGTTGGACGTTGATGCGTGTTGAGATCGGCTTTTGATAGTTTTTTCCTAACTTTAAGGTGTCATAAGTCTCAATTTTAAGCTCAAGTCATATTTACCGGCCGTTGGTTCGAGTTTTGGTATTTTTGGAGTCAAAATCAGGGAATTTGAGACTGACACCGGTGTTTGAGAAGCAATAGAGACGAGTTGAGAAGCATTTTAGAGTTGATTAGGAGCATTGGAGATCATTGAGGTGTTAAAGTCAAAGTTTTGAAGACAAAAGAGCTCTAGAATTGGTTACGGGATCAAAAGAAGACGAATAGAGCTTGAAAACAACGGTCAAGATGACGTTCAATCAATCGTTCAAGCATATCTTTTCTTAGGAACATCCAAAAAACATGATTCAAGTTTCATATGAAAGCCAACTTCAAGGGCTACAAATCATATGAAGACACCATTGTGAGAATCTGAGAGAAGAAAGGTGAAAACAGACGATGAAGTCAGACAATCTCTGTTGAGACTTCAGAATGCGACCTTCCACCATTTTATTCATATATTTTTATTGGATGATTCAAATCCAGTTTTGAAAGTTGTGTTGGATAGAAGACTTCATTAGCTATAACTTTGATGAAGGACAGGTAGTCAAAAATGAACTATAAAGCTGATTTCTGCTTGCAGTTGCCGCTTAGTGTATTGGCGGTCTGCGAATAACACCTAATACTAATACCGGAGTAGAATTTTTTGGAAGCTCCCTTGTTAGTTGAGGCCCAAGGCAGTTGCCTGGCCTAACTGCCCTCAAAGCCGCCCCTTATTTCCATAACAAAGATTTTTAGTGATATCTTCAATTTTACATTATAGTAATCGTGACAGCGTGCTTATAATAAGTTTACTACTACATAATACTTTTCTTCATATGTTATACGTAGTATTTAAATAATATTTTAAGAAAAATATTGTGCGATTACTTAAAAGAATATCTACTTTAGAACCCAACTTTCAATTGATAGATTGTTGTTAGGGTATGGGATTCGTAGCATAATATCCGTCTGCGACCCATCTTTCAATTGATAGATTGTTCTGAGAATCTGAAATTGATCATCAAGTGCCACAAGAAATTGTAGGTTTCTTTTGAATAATTAGCAGTTTTAGGCCAACAAGTCAAATTGACGTTGGATGTAGGTTTCTTTTTAATAATTATTTTAGAATCCTCAAGTGAATATAGTAGAACTTTGCATGGACATGTATCAAGAAATTTATCCTGCAAAGCTCCATTTTTTTTAAAATATTCATCGGATGTTCAAGAGATGTAAAGTAACTTCACAAAGTTTTCACGTCACAAACTTAATTAAATTGTGTAGGCAAAAATAATTATAATACATCAAACTTAACTTTGAAAGGGTGTAAGATGAACACCACAAACTTGCATATCTAACTTAAGTACCCCAAACTTTCTAGAAAAAGCTATTTTAGCAGCATAGACAAATATTATTTCTTCCAAAAAAGTAAATTCATGTGTTAATTGCATAATTTAAAATATTTTAGAATTCACGAAGAAACAATTAACATTCTAAACTTTATTGCGAAATAAATAATGCTACCCCCAATCTATATAATTGCAACACTTTTGATTTGCTATTTTAAATTATGCAATCAACACTACAAATTTGTATTCTTTAAAAGAAATAGTGCATGATAATGGTGTGAAAATAATTTTTTATATATAATTTAGGGTATTTAAGTTACATATGCAAGTTTGGGATGTTTATCCACATGTGAATATCCTTCGTGACAAAAGGAAGAAAATGGTAATAAAGTTCGTCGTCAAATAACCATCAAACTTTGCAACACAAGCCAGTACAAACCACCTAATGGCAAATCAGTTATAGTGAGATGTTTCGGCCTAATTGAAGACAAGTCCATGTTTGATATTATTGATAAGAAATTAAGAATAGATAATCCAAGGTAAGGGACATAGAATACCATCCACACCAGATAAATGGTTCATCTGCATTACAAAATATATAATGGGTCAATCAATATAGAAAGTTTAAATCAATACGTAGCTTGATGATGAGTGTAATAATGGTGCGCCAAACAAAATTCTGCTAACGATGATGGACACTACATTACTACTCCCTTCACCTCACAAAAATGGTCTGTTTGGAACTCAAAGAAATGTTAGGGAAAGAAATAGGAATGAGGAAAGAATGAAAGCTTTATGAGTTGCGCAACTCTCTCTCTCTCTCACCCTGTGTGTATTGAATAAGATCTTAAAAAATTACAACTGCAGAATTGCACTCTTAGGCTTTTAGCCCCTTACTTTAGAATTGCACATAATCTCTATCTTATATTTTATGCGAATTTCATCTATTAAATTGTAAAAAAGGTAAGTGGAAAGAGTTCAAACGGGCGGAGGGAGTACTTTATTCTTATTACATACTCCCTCTATCCCTTAAAGGTCTTTACGTTTGATCGAAACATAGTATAGTAAAGTAAAAATTGTGTGATAGAGATTTGTGCAGAGGTGAGAGAAATAACTGGAGCTACAAATTGATTGATTAAAAGGAAAAGTATCAAAGTTTTTGGGACATAAAAAATTGGAAATTTGGCAAAGTTATAAGGGATGGAGGGAGCATGTGTGGTCTCTCCTAAAAAGGCACATAAATATATGGCGAACTACTTAATTATTAAATCAGTTGTTCCATAAAGTTATATATACGACTCCATAAATATCAAGTAAGTGAAAAAAACCTACGTAGATGACTAGCACATTTCTAATAAAAAAGTTAAAACCTCTTTAGCGCATTTTAGCTGAGTGGTGAGATGTGTTTTATTCATGCTAAGGTGCTAATTCCGACATGGTGACACCAAGGACCACACATTAACAGGCTAACGACGGTGATCATCAACCAGCAATATTTGGTTCCTTTTGGGAGTTTCATGATCATATTTAGAAGCTCAGGATTGCAAATTGTATCGTACTTCAAGATGTAATAACATCATATAGAATTTCTGTAATCTTCTTGATGATTGCTCATTTTCTTGTAGAGGATGTCATTTCCTTTGTCTCCCTGTGTTCCTTTTCTTTATGACAATACCCTTCCTAAAGAATTTAAGAATTCTCAATTGCATATGAAGTTTGCTCATTTTTCTTTATATGTTGGATGTATTACTATGATACTTCAAATGTATAATACTCGAACCCACTCAAGGAGTCAAGATATGTGTACTTGAAAGAGGCTTTTCTTATTTCTGCAATGTTCACAACAAATAACAATCACATCTCTTCTCTATTATCCAATTGTGATTTTCTTTCACTGAAGAGTCAAGACCTAGGTAGTTAACTCTCTACTCGGTAGTAACTCGGTCAAGGGCCGAGAAACGAGTAGGACCCATTACTAGGGATTACCCTGTGATTACTCAGCCTTGTATTAATTAAATTTGATAATATAGGTGCATGAGATTATAGAAAAGTCTTAAAATTATCTTAAGATGCATAGAAATGAATAAAATGATAGAAATCCTAATGATGGAGTAGCACAAGTCATAACCATTCTAAGTTTTCAAGAAAATCAATCATCTAATTATTTGGTAAGATCTTCCCATGTCCATCCTATATCATCTGATCTTATTAAGTGTAGTATTAGCAAATTCTACACAAGGCTCAGCAGACTGAGGCTTCTAATGGTGTGTGTCAGTGTGTATCGATCAATGATGTGTCATAGTAAACAATCAATATAGTGATATTAATTAAAAGTTACGAAGTATAGTATATATAGTCATACTGGTGAAAATAATTTGGTTATATCAACATATATGTGCATATCAATAACAAACATTCGAGATGGTGATATTTTAAGAACACAAAAAAGAACAACCGGTGAAGAATGACGGGAGGGGGGAGAAGAAGAAATGAGAGAAGGGAGAGGGGAAGATACGAGAAAGAAGATGAGAACTTATTGAAATATCGTAGTCGCAGCTCTAGGAGGATAATCTATGTCTGGAACTTCATTTTAACTTAGTAAGACTGAGTAACTCACCGAGTTGAAAACTTCACCGAGTTGAGAAACTCGGCGAGTAACTCAGAAATAAAACATGGTCCAAGTAGGTAGCTACTCGGCAAGGCCAGCAACCGAGTTGCGAGTACTCGCCAAGTACTCAAGACTCAAGAACTCCGTGACAAAAAATAAGCAACAAAAGCTATCCGTTTCTTGCTCCACAAATAGTTTCAGCACACTACATCAACACATCAACATAAACCATAAACAAAATTCTTTTTTCCAGTAGCATAAAGTAATAATATCCTATACTCTTATGATCTTATCTCCCCCCAAAGAGCAAATATCTTCAAGAGTTTATGTGCAGTTAGCATTCCTTAGAAGCTGGGAAGAATGGCACTACTTTATTTACATAAAAAAAAGATATGCTATACAAAACACCATCACTATGAATAAATGAGGGAAACACATATCAACTTATGACCAGCAAACCAGGCGCTAAGCAAAAGGGATGTTTGGGTGCCTGAGAAAACTAGGAAAAGTTTCAAAAATGCTAAGTATTGCTATGATATGTTCAGCTTTACTTGGGAAATGGAAAGATAATCAAATACACAGAACAAATGGTTTTACTTTCTTCAAAATTGTAAAAATATACTCCGTATTTAAAATCAAACTTATTAAAAGCGACCAAAAGCGCGCTGAAGCGCAAGCGAGCGCATGCTTTGCGCTTGGCTTTTCCGAAGCGCAGCTCCGTGAGAAAGCGCAGCTTTCCGACGCTTTTCCGTCGCTGAGCTTAAGCGCAAAAAGCGCGATTATTATGGGCTTCTCACGAAAAGCGAAGATGACTGTCCAGATGGCTTAAATCCTATTTTTTTTGTTTTTCCGGAATTAGGTTTAACGAACATTGCCCGTTTCTTTTCCCCTCTGCGTCGCACGAACTCCTTACTCCTCTCTCCATCGCCAAAGCCATCCGCACGACCTCCTCTCTCCATCGCCAAAGCCATCGCACGACCTCCTCTCTCCATCGCCAAAGCCATCGCACGACCTGCTCTCTCCATCAGTCCATCCGCTGCTACTCTGCTTTTCACACTGGTGACTGGTCTGCTACTGCCTATCTTCTTCTTTGTTTTGCTGTATTTCTTCTTTGTTCCGCTGCGATTGAACTGCTCTCTCCATCTGCTGCTACTTATTGCTACTTATTGTATTTTAAAGTAGTCTCCCATAGTCCCATTGCACATGTACATTCCATCCCCAGCCTGGGAATGAACAAAGTGCTGATGGTTTTATTATTTGGCTTTTTTTAACAAACTTGCCTGGTTTTAAACATTATACATTTTTGAAACATGTACGTCTAAAGGAAAATGTCGGGAATGCAATCCAAAACGACGGACCCGGCATGGCAGCATGGAGAGAAAGTCTCACAAAACGATTATACTCGTGTTCGATGCATTTATTGTGATAAAGTAACAACTGGAGGCATATACGATAAAGTAACAACTGGAGGCATATACCCCGTCACAAGCAACATCTTGTCGGTGGCTTTCGATGTGTGAAGGCATGTGACAAGTGTCCTCAAGAAGTTAGAATTGCCATGAAAGAGGTTTTGGATGCAAAAAATCAAAGAAAAGAATCTTTGAAAGAGAACTCTTTAGGTCCTGATTTTGATGATGATGATGTTGAGGAGATTGAATGTGAAGATGGTACGAGCGAAACATCAACAATAAAAGGCCCAATGAATTTGTACATCAAAAGTGTTTCAAAAGAACATCAAAAATTGAAAAGAGCAAGAGGGGTAGAAGTAACTCTAGCAACTTGCAAAAAAGAGTTGAGAGAAAAGGCTGTAACTGCATTTGCACGATGGATGTATGAAGCCGGGTTGTCATTTAATTGCGTGAATTATAAGACGCTACAAAGTTTCATTGATGCTGTGGCACAACACGGGCCAAGCATGAAGGCTCCTACTTACCATGAAGTGAGAGTGCCATATCTCAAAAAAGAAGTAGATCATGTGAAAGAGCTTTTTAAACCACATGAGGATATTTGCAACCAATATGGTTGTTCATTAATGATGGATAAGTGGACTGATCGAAGAAATCGGGCGTATATCAACGTCCTAGTTAATTGCTCACTTGGATCGTATTTCATCCAATCAGTTGAAGTAAGTTTGGACACCGTGAATGGGGAGAAAATGCTAGAGCTCTTCGAAATCTTTGTGAATAGGGTGGGAAGTGAAAATGTTGTTCAAGTGATATCAGACAATGCTTCTGAAAATGTCAAAGCTGGTAATTATCTTTTTACACTTCTATTCTTTATCTTTAATATTTTTTTAATTAATTAAAATTATAATAGTCAATTGTAATCGCTCAGGTAAGGATTTAATGGAGAAGTACCCCGCAATGTATTGGACTCCTTGTGCTGCTCATTGCATCAATTTGATGTTCAAGGATATATTTGACCTTAAGCATTTCCAGACAACCTACAAAAGAGCTCTCAAGCTGTCGGTCTACATCCATTCCAAAACGAAGTTGTTGAACTTGTTTAGAAAATTCACCGGCAAGAGAGACTTGGTGAAATTTGCTAAAACACGATTTGCCACGGCTTTCTTGACATTCAAAAGGTTGAAGGAGCACAAGATGAAGTTGATAAAACTTTTTAATTGTGAAGAGTTCCTAACAACTAATTACTCCAAGGAAGAGGCGGCAAAGGAGTGTGGCCGAATTGTGCAAATGCCATCCTTTTGGAATACACTTCATGAGGCACTTAAAGTTGGAGGACCACTTATGACGACACTTCGGTTGGTTGATGGAGATGTCAAACCGGCTATGGGATATGTTTATCCCGCAATGGAGATAACAAAATCAGCAATAGCCAAAGCCTTCAACAATGACGAAACGAAGTGCAAGAGAGTGTTTGAGATAATTGATACGAGATGGACTTCTCAACTCCGTCAACCATTGCACGCGGCTGCTTTCTTCTTGAATCCGGATTTCTTTCGATTTCCAGGTGAGTCACCGGTGTCTTCTACCATTAATTCGACTGAGGTGGTAGCAGGATTTTATGACTGTTTGGAGAGATTGGTTCCAAAATGAAGAACTTCAAACGAAAATCGCAAATGAAGTGTCAACTTGGGAGCTAGGACATGGATTATTTAGCAGCTCATTTGCGAAGAGACAACGAGGTGTCAAGCCCCCAGGTTAATATTTTTTAATCGTTCTATATATTCTTTATTTTAAAAAATTAATACATTAACTTTTTAAATTTATTCTCTAGTTGATTGGTGGACATCATTTGGTGCTAGTGCTCCTCATTTAAAGGAATTTGCGATCAAGATTCTTAGTTTAACAAGTGCATCAGGTTGTGAAAGGAATTGGAGCGTATTTGAACATGTAAGAATAATTATTTAAATGTAAATAAGTAAGATCATTTTCATTTTTACTTTAACTGACTATGCTAACAACAATATTTAAATGCTTAACAGTTACATTCAAAGAGGAGAAGTCGTCTAGAGTACAAGCGCCTCAATGATTTGGTTTTTGTTAAGTACAATAGGGCATTGAGGCGTCGGTGGGAAATGCGTGACTCTATCGATCCAATTTGTTTAGAATATATAGACATGGCAAATGAATGGTTGACGGGTACTCTTGATGATGCAAACGAAGAGTTGGTCTTTGATGATGGAGATACTTTGACATGGGGGGACGTTGCGAAGTTTTCCTGTGTACATGATACACCATATTCTCTAAGACGCAATTCAAAAGGGAAAGAAAAAGTGGGAACTTCCAAGTCCAAGTCCAAGGAAAAAGCCTCCACCCATAGGCTTGTTGATGAAGATGAGGAAGAAGATGAAGAAGATGTTGGGGTGTATAATGATGATAGTGATGACTTCGATGCTTTGGTTATGGATGAAGAAGAAGGGAACATTCATGTGGAGGATGACATTATGGAGTGATAATGCTTCGTAGAGTTGATTTTATGACATTATTATGACATTGTGTGATGGATATTTTCTACCTTTATGTCGCATTATTAGTACTATTATGAGTATTATGACTATTGATGTGTTTTTGACTTAAATATGCATTGGAATATTTTATATTTGTATTTTTCTATAGCCATCGTTTTTTGTGTAAAAGCGACGCTTCGCTTAGCGCTTTCGCTTTTTATAAAAGCTCTAAGTTCTCGCTTTTGGTCGCTTTTCGCTTAAAATAAGTTTGTTTAAAATTCTTAATCTCTATACAAAATGTTAGCCAGGTGAACATTGGTGTCCCCGCAAAGAGAGAGTTTGGAGAAGGGCTACACCACAAGGGTGTACAGGGTAAAGCCCTCTCTTGACAATTTTTTACCAGAAACCGCTCCCAATATTTGAACCACTGCTAGGTCACACAACAAAACCTTAAGGGGTCGTTTGGTTCAGGGAATGTCAAATTGCCACGGGAATGTCATATTGCTGGGTTTGTTAGATTGATGGGAATGTATCCAATTTATTCTCATTTGTGTTTGGTTAAGATTAAGGGAATGTGATATTAATTTACTTGGTTGAAAGATATCTTATATTGCAGATATAGTGAATTACTTCAATGCCCTTTAAATATTTTATCTTAACACAATAAATCTATTACAACCTACATCAAACCTAATTGAATTATTTTTAAGTAAACTACATTCAAGTTATTCATAAAACTTCTTTTCAAATTAAAGAAAAAATGATCAATTTTGCCATTAAACTTTGAAATCCACTCATCAAAACTTAAATAATCTATAAGTCTTATAAAATAAATATCTTAAAAAACTTAAATGTTAAGGAAAAAAGAATTATGAAAATAACAAGAATAGACATTCAAATATAATTAAATAAACATACTCCATCTGTCCCAGTAAAAAGGTTGTCACAATTTACGATCGACTGACCATAAAATTAACTGATCTCTTTCAATAATAAGATTATTTTTTAGTCAATAATATTTACATATTTAGAAACTATATTAAACGTTTTATAAAATCGCACTATATAAAGAAATTAAATGAAAAGAGATAATTAATTGAGGGTATTTTTGAAAGAAAATTAGACCATCCCCGGGAATGTAAGATGGTGGATGGTTATAAGATTCTCCTCCATATTACATTCCCGAGAATGTAACTTTTCCGATTTTTTCTCAAACCCGTGAACCAAACATGGGTATCTGACATTCCGTGCATCACATTCCGGCCTTCATGTGAGATTATCCAAACCAAACAGACCCTAATGGGTGTACCAAGACACCCTTTCAAATTTCTTAGTCTCTATAGTAAAAGAATAATTAAATAAATAGCATCAGATAAATACCTCCTTCATCCCAATTTGATTTGAAAAAGTTGACTCATAATAATTAAGGAATCGGGAAATCACTCTGTGACCACCAAAATAGGAATTTTGTAAAACAAATTGGGAGGGAGGGAGTATCTAAAATAAACTTAGGGGTAATTGATGCTTGCACTTCGAGTTTGGGTCGTATTTTTATATATTTATTATTTATACCCAAAACATTAAAGTTCACATCCTAGTTTCTCTTCCAAATTGGATTTTGCATCCATCTTGAGCAGAATTTTTTAACTCCGGACTTTAAAGAATTTGAAGGTGCAAACTCGAATGTGGATGAAAACATGGAGTGCAAAGCTTTAGCCTATTTTTTAAGATAAGCTAAAACTTAGTAAGCTTTTGATATCTTTTTTTCCACAAAATTATCATTCACCTGGAAATCTAATTAAGTTTTAGCATATCTTGTCTTTCCCCCAAAAAATTCTTTCATCCAAATTCCTTTATGTTTTCTATCATACGGAGTATTTTATTTCCTGATAATCCTATTAAATCCGGGTTCCAAACGATCATAAGAGAATTTTAGTGAGAAAGAAAAAAGAGTGAAAGTAAGATGACCTTTTGAGAGATGAGTGCTCTCAGTGGGAATGAGAAGCAGATGAGGTGGAGTGAGAATGAGGAGCATAGATCTTGTTGTAGGCGGTTTCGCCGACGAGGTAGATGCCGAAGGCGACAAGGGCGATGCCAAGGCCCGGAGTGGCATGGCGGAACTGATTCGACAGCATCGGGTGTTTCCTCCACGCGTCCCTCCTCCTGAAGAACTCCCCGGTCGGTCCAAGCGGCTTCGCCATATTCCGTCCGATGATTCGCCTCCCTGAGCTCGCTGATGTTTACTGTTATGAGATAAATTGTCTGACTGGTGAACTGGATAGGCTCGGCCCTTATAATAATGGGCTTGGCCCTTATGATAAGAGTTATGCTAGAGGTACAAACACTTTTACAAAAAATCTTTAAAAAAATGTATGTGTCATCATCACATTATTTAACACATCACATCACATTTACAACACTTTTACATCAATGTTAATTAGAATAGTCACATCATTTGTTTGTAAGTTTTTTTGTAAGTGTGTTTGTACTTCTAGCATTTTTCTTATAATAATCATCTTGATATTCCACTGTCACTTGGCAAACATTGGATCATTTGAAAATTAAATTGTACTTGTCCGTTCTATTGGACTTTGCTAACTTTCCATTTTTTATTGTTTCAAAAAACTTTATCACTTTTCGATTAAAATAATTAATTCTTGGTTCTACTCATTTCTCTTTCTTTTGCACAAACATCAATCACACGGTTTTTTATTTTTCTTATTTCTCACATACTTTCAAGTTGGCAAAGTCCATCGTGATGGATGTAATATTAGGGCTGACATTTTGAACCAAAAACCGAAAACCGAACCGAAAATAATCGAACTGCATTGAAAAAAAACTGAACCGAACCGATAAATTTCGGGACCCGAAAATCGGGACCCGAAAAAATATTGGTTCAGAATCGGTTTATATACTGAAATTATCGGTTTGGACCGAACCGAAACGATTTTTTAATGATAATAATAATAAATATTATTAGTAGTAATGACGTTTACAAATGATATAAGTTCCGTTTGCGTGAAGTGCAAACGTATTGGAGGCTTTAGGCCTTTAGCGTGTTGGTTATGCAGCGCATTGCCTTTTCAAGGCGTCACCGGTTCGAGTTTTCCTGGCGCCCATTTTGTTTTATTATTTCTTTCCTTTTTTTTCCTCTCTCCACAACTTGTCCCACACCGAAAAAAGAAGAGACTTACTCCTCCAAAGACATCTATATAAGAAGGGCTCTACTTGAAGTGAAAATGGTGACTAGTAAGTCCCTCAATCCGGTGATTTTGGATTTAATAGCAAGATATATTAGGCTCAATATTTTAATAGCAAGATATATTAGGCTTGGTGGGCTCAATATCCTAAAGCCCAGATATATTCGGCTTAATGGGTCGAATGCAAGTTCATATTTATTCTTGTTTATTATATTAATCGGTTTATTTCGATTTCCGACAAACTGACCCGAAAAATCAGTTCCCAAAAACTCAACACCCGATCCATGATCGGTTCGGTTTCGGTTGTTGTAATTTCAGAAACCGATATTTCGATTCGGTTCGAAGATTTGTTGGATCGGTTCGGGACTCGAACCGAATCCAACTCTATGTAATATTATTTTAAAGGGAAAATTAAGGACGAGAAGTAAAATTGTGTTGGAATTCCATATTAAAACTGTCTTATTTTTGTTCCTTGATTAAAGTAATCAAGAGAGAATATAATTAAATATCTCAAACTTTAATGTGTTGTGTAATAAGTACTGCATATGTATTATATATATCTCACACTTTATATAAAAATTATTTTCGCACTATGATATTATGATTTTTACAAATACAGAGTTATTGAAATAATTAAATAATAATTTCAAATACTCTAAGTTTTGTTAGAATGCAATTAACATTCTAAAATTTCATTTGTGAAATAAATAATACTATGTATTACATCGAGTACAATTTAATTTTAATTGCATCCTCATCGATCAATATTTCGTATATTTTAAATTATGTACTTAATAATATCATAAAATTATTTTTGTGAAAAAATATGTTTATGGTGCTAATATAACATTTTATATAAATTTTGAGTATACTCCCTACGTCTCTATATAAAAGTATCCATTCGTTTCTCACCCACACCTGGCTCTTGCCAAAATTTTTAATAGAAAATTTGACGCTGAGGGGCTTTGAACCCTAACAAAATTGTGAAGCACTACTAACAGTGTATCAACTAGGCAAAATGTCTCATTGTGTCAAAGTCTACTTCGACATGTATATGTATACTTCAAAGTGTATATACATACACTATTATTTATAAATGTAAATGGATTTGTGATTATAATAATAACTACGAGTATATATATTGATGTTATTATATTATAGGGAGTACTGATAAACTAAATAGTATTTGTGAAAGACTCATAACATCTATCAATATTATTTATATTTTTAATATATAAATACTATTTTCACATATTGTCCATTGAATTCTAAACGTATTTTGAATATTTTTGAAAACTTATATGGTTTTGCTCATTAATTTTATTTATTTATTCTTATAAGAATTATTAGATTTTGAATGAGGATAATTTTTGACCATATAAATTTAGTCTAATATATAAGTAACTATATTTATGTTTACTTTTGCACTAAATAATGACCCGTTTTCTTCACTGGTTGACCATGACCCACTAAAAATTAAAAAAACATCTTAAAACATTAAAACAAATAAAAATAGATAAAGCACATAACAATATAAAAAACATGGAAACTTTTCCCTCATTAACATTTTTTTTATGAAAAATTCGGGTTAGAAGCCAGGTCAAGCTAAAAGTGGGCATAATAAAAAAGAAAATGAAAAAAATAAATATGAGAGAGGAAAAGTGAGAGTGAATTGCTATTGTTGAAGGTCACCTCTAGTTGTTTTGACTCAATTGATACTTTTTGGGGATTTTTTACAAATAGTACAAAAATACAATAGATTTCAAAAAAAAGACTGCAGCAACTTGTACGACCTAATTTAAATGAAGTGACAACAATACCTTCAATTAAATATTAAAGGACAACCGCCTAATCCATGTGCTCATATCCTACAACATGAAGTTGGGACTGCAATATAATGCTCTCATCCACCTAAAACATCATCGTCAAAGTCAGCGAGCGCGTCTGAGCCAGCGAGCATATCCGCCTCAAACATCAACAACCCGCCGTACAGTACGAATAATCAATCGCAATCCCACTCATTCATACTATACAAGACGTCTTTGAATACCATTTACACACAGTTCATCCATAAACAAACATAATGTAAAACATTCATTTAAAACAGCGGAAACATAAATTCAAGTGTTTAAGCCACACTTGGCATCATCAGGCATACAAGCCCCCAAAATAATTATTTAGAAAATAATATCCATGAGCATTATCATAATTGTTTTGAAAACGGAAACAGAGGAAGCACAAACCACGTCTTCTCTCTTAGAATTCCCCGAAGCAACGGGTGATGGTAGCAAGCTTCAACTTCTACCTGAAACTGTGAGTTGGCCTCCCCCGTGAAGGGGAGGTCAGTACTTTGAAGCATTTGAAAAGTACAATGACAACTACACTGAATATAATCAATGTTTCAATTCCTTAAGACCCTCAAATAGAGTGGTATCATAATATAATTGATAATTCATATTTGCCACTTATTATCTCTATAATAAGTAAATTCATTTATTTGTCGGCAGACGACCCTTCTTATATATTTCCTTTTCATTCATCATTTGTACAACCCAACCTGTGGGTCTTATTATTTCTACGGGATTTGCTACCGTTGTCTGAGACCTCATGAGGCTCTCGGTTCGGATTTCATCATCCCGCCCCTGGACTCATACCCATCATCCCGTAGGAAGGTAAGGCCCTTCGGGGTCCTATCTTATGTGTTACCGCTGTCGGAGCCTAGTTAGGTCTTCGATTCGGATTCCCTCTTAACCCGTGATCATGATGCCAGTCCATGCTATCCAACCCCGCTCTCTAGAATCGGGAAGGGCCATAGTCCTTACTTATTCCCATAATTCAACTGGCTATCCCCAAGGACTACCGAACATGTCCGTAGGCCAATCCTATATCTAGGATCAATTTATTGTTCACTTATCTTGGGCATCCCTTAAGGCCTACCCCTAGTATAACTTAAAGTTCATATCTACCTACCTTAAAGCATCTCTTAAGACTACTTAAGGCATAACATTTCACAATCCAACCATAGGATCAATTTTAGCAACATTTCACTTTAATGCCCAACTAGTATATTAATACTAGTCCAATTAATTCCAATAAAACCAAGTTCTCCATTCATGGTCATTTATAAAATGCTCAACTGATTTTCCATTGAAAATATCATCTTTATATCAAAATACAAAATATCACTTTTAATAATTCATATATTCTTATATGAAGTAAAAAGTATATTTCAACATACATTTCATAGTTAATTCCATTATCAAGTCAACATACTCATAACACATGATCATACACAATTTATTTTTAAATTTGTATATCATGCTCCTTTTCTTATAGACAATAGTCTTCTCATTCTTAAGCATTATTAATCATTAATAATCCATAAAAACACATTTAATTACCTTATGTAATTTCATGAAATTAACTCACTAATTATAAGCAATATAGTCAGTCATCTTCACCTTGTGATGTGCTACAATAGTTGCCTTTGTTAAGCCCTTCAATCAATCCCCGTTCTAGGCCGATTGAAAGTGGAAAAACTGGACATCAGCCAAAAGCCGGGCGTCTTTCGTGAAATCCGGGCGGAGTTCGTGGCCTGCAGTTACGGGCAGCCTGTTGTTCTTGGCGGTTTCCGGTGATTTTGACTCCTATCGATTCACCAACTCTTCTAAGTTAAATACCACCACTTTATATCAATATTTTACACTTTTAAACGTGTAGAACTCATGATTTAATCCACCATATGATTTCTTAAAAATCATACACAACAAAACTAGTTAAAAGAACTATTAGTTCTTACCTTGATTTCTAGCCTTTTTGTGTTGGGTTTTCTTCCCTTCTTGCTTTCTCCTAGCTTGAGCTCTGTGAGAAGCTTTCATAGAGTTCTCTCTCAATGGTTTGGTCGAGTGGATTGCAAGAGGATAGGGGGAAAGTATTCCTCCTCAATCAAATGGAGTAATAATGCAATAATAATGCAATGGGGCTGTGGTTTTGTCTCCAGCCACCCTCTCATTTCAAAGTCCCCACATGCCATGCTTTGATGT